CTCGTGATACCCTTATCTAATAAATATCTATCCACCTCAGTCTTGAAAATTTGAATGAATCCAACACACACAACCTTTTGAGGGAGAGAGTTCAGGATTTCCACTACCCTTTGTGTGAAAAAATGTGCAGGGAGCATACTTTTCGAACTTGTACGTGTGGCTTGCGTATATAAATGTGTACATAAATGTGTACATGTATCTGATTATATCTTAAAAGGATGAGCTTATTGGTGTACTTTGGTCATTGCTCATCTAAGCTTTCCTTCAGTTTCTCTTAATTCTAAACAAACTCTTCCTCTTCAATGTACCTCACAAAACTGACATGAAGGCTACTCTCACTATCTCTGACTCATTCTTTCCCAGGGTCTCAATACTGTATTTCTTTTCATCAGTCTTCTTTTACTCCTACAAACCACTGGCTTTTAAAATTCAAGTTTTGGCATCAACTAACCACTACTACTTGACTTACTATGTTCTCTCACACTCTTCTATACAAATAAGTCTGGTCTCTTCACCACAATTTATCTAACAAAACCTTCAGGTTAAATTCAACTCAAATTGTTTGGGTTATGTGAATCCCCATATGATATTTCATAGGAATACAAGCAAATACAGAGCAAGCCTCTCCCTGCCAATTTTACATTGGGGTAAAGTTCCACATGGGTCTAGATTTACTCCATTAACGTAACATCTCAGAGTGTGCAAAATCTGGCAAGTTGTTGAATTCAGTTTTAACTTTGAAGCCTGCTTCCTGTAGTTCTTAAAATAACTTACAGCAAACTGGCTTCAAAATTAAAGACTGCATTTAAGAATTTGACAAATATTGGACACTTGAAAGTGTTTCATTGATAGAGTACATCTAAACCCATGTAACTAGTATAATCTTGTCAACTGATACAATATCCCACGGCAAACAAGAAACTTAAGAAGTCAAAGTTTTAACTCGTTGATTCCTGAATACAATTCTAATGGACCTTTGATTAATCGAATCCCCAATAGCCCACCAATGGCAGGAGATGAGACAAGACAAGTGCAGAAATGTGTAGATCTTTATATGAAAATTAGGTAAGATGAATGATGTCAATTTAGGGATCAAATAGGTCAATTTGAGTAGAAGGTGGATAACGAGTAGATCTGGTCAGAAGCAAGGTTTCCTGTCTTAAATTGGTTTGGAACTCCTGCTGAATATCATCAAGAGCACAATCACATGAATGAGAAAAGCTGTGATATTAAGGTACAGTTCAATAGCTTGTCCATGTCAACATGTCCGCCTGCTGCACATCCCCTGCACGGCCCGCCCCACCATTGGCAGTCCGGCCCTTAGCCTCTCTGCCGCCAAGCCAACCCACAGTCCCTTCGCCTTTCTCCCTCCCATGCCTCTTTCAAGGTATGTCTCAAGACATTCCTCTTCGACCGTGCCTTTGGTCACCCTCCTACATCTTACCTGTGAGATGAAGGTAGGACCTCCCATGAGTTACCTGCTTGGCAGTGTTGCATGAATCTTGTGGGAAATGAACATCACAAAGATGGAAACAAAAAAGGCAATTGGTACCTTCAAGCTCGTTCTTTGCACAAATCTCATACAATCAATCAATTCAATCTCTTGAGCCAAAAATCACAATATTTTGTGATTCCCCCAAAAATCAAGCAAACTTTTGAGAATGTTTATCCATCTTCTCAACTCCACTGTCCAACCCTAGTTTACTATCCTTCCTTGACTAGATACAACACACTATTCTCTGAAAGATAGGGACCTCTGTTGTTCTTTTACTCATCTTAGTCTTTCTTATTCCCACAATCCTCAATTAAGTTCCACTGCATATGAGAAAAGACTGCTGCAAACTGTACCTGAAGCTTTTTTGTAACTTTGACAGTGGCTCAATGGTTAGTAGTAAGCTGTCTACGGAATATCAGCTAATAGAAACCATTTTAATAAAAATAATAATCCTTGTATTTGATATAGTACCTTATCATGTTGTCAAGACGTCTCAAGGCGCTTTACAGGATATAGTGTAAAGTGGTCTGACTGTGTATTTTGTGGGCAAAATGCAGCAGCCATTTGCACACAGCAATATCCCTCAAACAGCCATGGAATTAGTGACCAATTTTATTTGAAGGAATTTCTATGGAAGAAACTCCCTCCCCTTTTCGAATGGTGACATGAGATCTTTAACATCCACCTGAACATGTAACCAGGGTCTCGGTTTAATGCCTCATCCAAAAGGCAGCACCTCTGAATGATGTGCTAAAGCACTATATCAAATGCAAGGATTTTTTGTTCTCATAATAGGTTAATATTTTCAGGGTAAGTCTTCCTGAATGCACTCCAATCTAAAGCCTATCTTTCCATTGCTGATCTACTTTTCCCAGCACATCTGGTTTTGATTTTCCATGATTTTCCATGACTTGGCTGCTAATTCAGAACTTTAGAACTTCACATCCAAATGTTCACAGCTCCTCTGAGCCCTATAGCTTCAGAATCAGAGTTCTGTCGCCCAGCTCTAATAATCAGCACCATGGCCAGCTCCTGATACTCAATCAAAAGTTAGTAAATAAAATCAGTTGCTCTCTACCTTCAAAATTCTCCAAAACACCAATTGATTTTGGCAACCGGTTATCTATAATCATCTTGTCTCTTGGAAATAATATTCATTTCTTTTCAGCAAAATCTGGTGGTAATTTGTCTCAACCACATTCTGATCAGTCAGGACTCCACCTCAGGAAAATAAATCTAGGAGGGTGTGTTTAGTTACCAACTTTAACTTTAAGGCTACTTTCTTCTTCCCCTTTCCTCCTGTTGCAAAATACCAGTAGAAGTGGGAAGAATTTGCATATATTTCTGAAATAAGCACAACGGAGGGTAATTGCCTTTGGAGAGACTTCTCTCATTACTTTTTAGCTTTTTACCAACAGGTTCACAATTCTGGGAGTCTAGGAATTTCCCAAGTGTGAATGTTGAAAATAGGTGGTGTAGTGGTATAAATCAGGCTGATTTCGTCCAGCTCCAGTCCTACAAACTGTCATGAAGCAACGCACAACCAGATTCATATGACCACAACAATTACATGCCTTGGCCTCAATAAAGAATTGGATTGAGAAAGACTCATTTCAATTCGGCTGTCATATATATGCCGTGCTCAGACCCCGAAGGTGATCCATTGCATCACTCAATTTCCTAATTTAATATGGAGTATGGCACACCTCCAATTGTTTGGTACATATGAGGAAATACGTCTCCTATTTATCTCCTATGGGCCGCCCGGCAAACTGAAAACTGCTTTGCTTGGTCTTGATGGGTGAGGTTACTCTATTCTTTGTGACTGCAGATCAGGTGTGGAGGTGTGAAGTTCTTTGCTTTATTCTGAGAAAGTGGACAACAAAACGTTTAATGTGCGATTGTGTGGAGCCAACGAAACTCATGCCTTCCTCCTCCAAACCGCACCAGCTTCATGACTCACTGCTTAACTAAGTCATCTTCAGAGCAGAAAGAGACATATTCAATGTAGCAGCCAGGAGGTTAGGGATTTGGAAGAAACTCAGCCATGGAGACAGAGGGATGACTAATAAAGTAGTTTTCCAGCTAAATAAATTTTAAATGACCTTAAAATGTTTAAATACAAAAATATTTCCTCAGGTTCCAGACTAGCCACATTACATCATCAACATTCCATTAATGGCTGCCTCATTAACAAGAGAGAAGAACCTTAAAGGGGCAAAACAAAATATACAGTAGACCCCAAATCTAACCCAATTGAAGAGTTTGCAAATAAGGCCCAGGAGAAGTCAGAAACGTTCCCAATACAACCTTCCTCCTTTAAATACAGCCTCCAGGTTATAACTTATACCTATGTATTACCTTGACTAGCAGATGCTTGCATCTCACTTTCATTCAACTATGGATTGATTTACTATGGAGGATTCATTACGTTGCTTGAATCTAATTGGCTTTGGTGTATCCAGTACAGCTTTGGCACTCACACCATAAAGAAAATTCCTCAAATACTTTTTTTTTCAAAATTGAAACAAAAGTCAAATGAAAGCCACATGAATCCCTGTACTCTTGGCCTCCACTCAACTGCTACCCAATACAGTTCAAATCAATAAACACCAACTGGTCTCTTGATTATTTCTCAGACATTTGCCGTATCATTCAAGCTGAAGTATACTGACATTGATGGATCAAGATTTGGTAATGCTTTCATTGGGAATATGAAACATTCAGAGCACGCTGGTAAGTGGGACACTCAGATCAAACTGACATAGTAAAGGAATTACAAGAGGAATTATATGGAGACTAAGTGAGGAAGCAACGAATGACTCTCAGAAGTTTGGACAGTTTACACAGAAATAGAATGAAAGCACACTTTACTGTCTTGGATGGGATACTGAAAAAAATTGAATTTCACATTAATTCTTCATTCAATTGAATCAACGTTTTGTCAAAAGTAGAAACAGCACAGTGCAGTGAGGAAAAGCATTGGACTGCTGGATAACTGCAGAGCTGCAGTGTCTCACAATACTCAAATCTAAATAAAACAAGTTTTCAAACTGTGGGTCAGCATTTGGGACACTACAATTCGGTTCAAAACCCCAGGTTAGGAAGGGGTTTAAAATTAGACTAGGTTCCCTCTTGCTATTAAAAAAAAGACCTTCAGACGAAAAATAGCAACAGAGTTTTCCACGTCCTGGTGCTTCTATAGTCCCTTTCCCAAATTGACTAACCTTCATATGTTAAATTGGACATTTCAGCTGATATAAGGAGAGATCAGTGACCAGACTTGGAATTTTCCTGCTCTGCCTGGAACAATTTCACACTGGAAATTGGTTTTACCAAATTTAGCAATCGGAGAAATTTTTACCTTGATTTCACCCATAAGTCTGACCTTGAAATATTCAGTGTCAATACTGGATGAAGAATGAGAAAAAAGTTCATTCCCAAAATTGTCAACATGAACACAGAAGGCAACAGAATATAGACTAGAAAATAAATACATTTCTACCTTTCTGGAGAATCTGGATCAAAACAAGCTTTCCTCACGTCTGTAACACTGGGATCACAGCAGTCGCCATCATCAAAGTCATCCAGGACGTTGTTACATTCCATGTTACAGATCCCATCTCCCCTTTTCCAAACGTAGCACCTTCCTTGAAAGCGGCAGTCTCCTCCGTCATATCCAGTTAAAGGATGATCGCATTCAGATTCGCAGTTATCATTCCCGATTTTACTCTTCTCACAGTTCACCAGAATAACTCGATTCCGGATGGTAGTGTTCAGGACTTCAGTGATGGAAAGTTGCCATGTGATATTGTACTTGCTGAAGGCCTCGTTCAGTGCCTGGTGCTGGAGTTCAATCTGTTGTTTGGTAACAGTAGGGTATTGCCGATTGCTGTCATAAATATTAATGACTCTGTATTGGATTGTCTTTTTTGCCCGGAGTGACCAGGAGCTATTGTAGTTTTTGATTATCTCTACATTGTCACAGACTGTGAGACCGCATGGTGGTGGGGTCAGAGGAGAAACTAGCTCTGGCTTTGGTAAACGCATAAAGATCCAAATTGGATAATGACTATCCTTACCTGGTCTCCAGTGATCTTCCATTTTAGACCAATCTGCACGTAGAATTAAGGAAGACTCATCTTCCTGTACGCTTTGATAATAGTCCCTTTTGAATTGTTCTTGGGGCTTTGCAGTTTTCCAGAGACTGAAACTGGCCATGTAACCATGGAAATTGTGCCCGGAGTTAGAGTTGTCTCCACCGATCATCAATGTCCTGCAAGAGCTCATGAACGCACTGTGTAGATTCCCCAACTGTCCAGTGCTGCCTCCAACTTTGGCCCCATTCACGTACAGCATCATGTGATGGCCATCATAAGAGGCAGCAACGTGTGTCCAAGTGTTGACATGATAACGCTGGTGGGCAAAGACTGTGGTGGCTTTTCTAGCTCTGTCTGTCCGCAGAGAGAAGAAAAAGCGTGGGTCCTTGTTTCCCAAGTATTCCACCGATTGAATGCCAATTATCCACCCCTTGTCACTGAGCGAATGGGAACAGTTATCAAAAAGCCCTGTAAATAAAGACATAAAAGAAAATGTCATTCATACATGAATTGGCTAGAATTCACTGCAGTTCTTCCCATCCATCTGTCTCCGGTGTATATGTATGGTCCATTATATATGTGGAGAAAGATACAGCAGTATATTTATAAATGTTCCTGACACCAAGTTAAACAACCAGTCAGTCACTGAGCAAAAATCAGCTGTGGGACAAATTCTAATCCAAACAAATAATGGAACATAGGAACAGGAGTAGGCCATTCAGCCTTTTGAGCCTGTTCCGCCATTCAATTAGATCATGGCTGATTTGTACCTCAACTAATCTTGTCAATTCCAATTTCTCATTTTTTCCCCATATCCCTTGACACCCTGACCTACCAAAAATCGATCAATCTCACTCTTGAAGGTGTGGATGGATCCAGCATCCACAACCTTTTGGGGGAAAGAATTATAGATTTCTACCACCCTTTGAGAGAAAAATTGTTTCCTGATTTCATTCTTAAATGGCCTGGTTCTAATTTTAAAACTATGCCCCCTTGTTTTGGATTCCCCCACCTGAGGAAATAGCTACTCTGTATCTACCCTCTCGAATTCCTTTATCATCTTAAACACCTTAATCAAACCCACTAGCTCCCCATGTCCCAAAGGATCGAGTTCAAGATGCTCACCCTTTTAAAGCCCTCCATGCTCCAGAACCCACCCTACCTCTGTGACCTACTAAACCCTTACAAACTCCCTCCGCTCACAGGCATTGACCTGCTTTGTGTCTCCCGCCCTGCATTAGTAGGGCCTTCAGTCGTTCAGCCTCTCGAACTCCATCCCAGAGTTCCTTTGCCTTGCCCCTTCCCTTGACTACTTCAAATTCTGTCTCAAGTCCTTCCTCTTTGACCATGCTTTCGGTTTCTTCCCAACCCCACCCCCTTAACCGCACCCCCTTACTCCCACCTCTCTGGAATCCAACCCTCAGCTCAGATGCAAAACCTCAACTGTCCAGTACTTTGGGACATCCTCCCGACATGAAAGGTGCTTTATAAATGCGAAAGGCTCAGGTGAAACTAAAAGATTGGAAAAAATGCTTGTGAATCTGTGAAACAGACTCCCAACTAAAGAAACAAATATGTCGATTAAATCCTTCAAAAAATAAATGGAAAAGTACCTGACTGAGAACAGTATTGTGCGTTAAAGGGAAGAGTACAAAGTGACACAAGCTACAGGGTGTCCACAAAGTCCTCTTACACCCGATTACAAAACAGTGATATGAGACTATGGAGGAGCTTAAACAAGCTGTCAGAGATGCATTTCGCCTCCTCACTCCGTCCATGTTATGGAAGATGTCTCACTGAATACGGGGACCGACATGAAAGTAATGGCACTCACTCCCATCAATCCTCTGGATGTCTAAATACAGTTAAACACTTGGACTGAATACAATTGAGTACTTCTAAATACAATTATCATCATTCTTCCACATGTTTCAGGTGTTGGTCAGTACAATCTATTAAAAGAATGGGGGTAACAGGACTTTGAGGACTCTGTACTCAGATACAATTATTTCTCCAATCAAGAGAGAACGAATGCTGTCCTTGGCAGGCAAGAGGCCAGGGTTTAATAGTGGAGACATGAGAATATTTTGTATTTTTTTTACTGTTACCTTTGGGGATCAAAGAATATTTATGCAGAAGATTTCGCCAGGTGACAAAGGTTATAGGGGTGGAATCTTATAGTTATAGTTTAGGTATTACATCCTCTGTGGAAAGAGGGAGGTTGATGATTCAAACAGCCTTTGCTCATCTCTATGTTTTATTTTTTCATTGCCTTCCCCAACGTACTCCCTTATCCAGTCATCTGACAAGATGAGGCCCCACTCATCTGCAAACTGTCGTGTGTGGGGATCTGTCAGCACTAGGAGAGGCATGATTATATTCATTGTGGGGGTGTGGTGTAAGAGGCAGCAGTTCAGCCTGTTTTCTATCAGGCCCCTTGCTGTCTTCCTTCTCTGAATCTTTTGAATCCTCTGTAAAAACTACTTTGCGCGTGAAAGGCACTCGCTGCATGGCATAAAAGGCAGGGCATTGAGCCATGTGTGCAATAGGATGGGCCAACTTTGGGGCCATGTCTGGGATTGCCTTCAGGCCTTGCTGGTGCTTTGCAAAGCTTTCCAGTATGGCTTCCTCTCAGTGGTAAAAAAGAGATTTTCACAGTAGAGGAAAGCTTTAAAAGTCAGCAATACAAGTCAATGGGAATTCCTTATATCCCGAGCCAGGCACATTTGCCTTGAGCTGCAGAATTGGAGCATTATGTACAAAACTTCAAAGCTTGAGTGCTAAACAATTTTAACACAATTTTAATAAGGATATCATTCTTATTAGTTTGGAAACAAGCTGTAATGGAGGCTTATGTGTATGTTGCCTGACACCAAATTTCCTTGAACTAGAATAGAATTACTAAAGGTGGATTGGTGCGGATTTTGTCTCAAGAGCATACCATACTCTGATTTTGTTTTAGTATTAGCTGCAATATTGGGCTCTAGTCATGAGAGTATTTAGCATTAAGGTTTCACTATTGTCATCGTGACAATGAAGCCCTAAAGCCAAATACTCTCATGACTAGATCTGCACGAGACTATGTGCATCATGGAAATACCTGGATTTCGTCTCCCCAGCCTTTTGAGCTAAAGCAGAATCCAAATCGACCAGTTTTACCTTATCGAGATATTCCTGTGAATAATTCCAACCTGATCACAATTTTCTTGCGGAAAATTCTCTTGAGAAAAATAACCAAAAATGATGAGGAACAAATCGCTTATACAGAACAACTAGCCAAGAGGGTTACTTCATTATGTCAGAGTATTTAAAGAAGAGTGTCCTGGTGTTTTCCCTTTGTATTATAATATGTTGTTTAACTAGATACTGGGGTTAACAGAGAACAGAATTTGACCTCTGATCTTCCACTGCTACAAGCTGAAGGCAGTTGATATGGATTGTACTACTAAAATCAATGAATTGTGCTTTATGTGTGGTCATTGTGTCAATTGTTTTGCATCTTACCAATCTCTCTTCCCTATTTTTTAGCCTTCATTGCTTTCTTTAGCAGGTTATTTGGCCACAGTAAAAACCGCAGCCAAACCAGAGGTATCTTCACTCACGAGATGATGTGGTACTTTAGTAACACTAAAAGTTTATAGTGCTTGGGGAAGGGTGGTAGGGGGAGGGGGGGTGGTAAGCAGCATCTCCTTGGAGCTCGGTTAGCGACAAGGTAATCTGCTCAGCAACAGAATGTCAGAACCAGTGGTCTTGATATTCTGGTACCCAAGCCAGGTGGGTATTCCAGGGCACTGATGATGACAAATCAGATGGCCTGGCCTATTGGCAGGATTTGGAGGAGAAGACCACTCACTAAAACCAGCAATTCTTCCAATTCAGCTCCTGTTAGCTTTGCAACCCAAAGCTCTAACAGGTAGGATGATCTGGATAAGCAGTGAGAAGTTTGCCAGACAGTGCTCTGAATGACAAGTTAAGTAGTTTTGATTGGTACCCCGATATACCCTGAGGTCCCCAAGCAATCACCCTTACCAACCTGCACCTAGTACTCTCCAGAATTAGGTAAGCTGGGTGGGTCCCTCCAAGGAGAGGAAACAGGGAAATCCCCATGCATAGGTGCCTTTCATGAAACTCTCAGAGTTTCATGAATGTTTGAATGTTGGCACAGGACTTGATCATGGAGATCATCACAATTGAGCCTGATCCTATCCTCACCTAAGGGGGACCCATACAAACCTCACACAAAGGTTTCTGGAGGAGTTATTAGGCAATGGTCAGGATCAGAAATCCTAGCTCAAGATTTTTTTCTGTCCAACCCAGGGACAATGAGGCTCATTGAAGCACCTGTTTACTTCCCCCCCACACCCGATGATATCAGACAGGTCTCTGATCACTGTTTTCGAAACATATTAGAGTTTCCAACTTCAGGGAATTAAAATACTAGTCAATTTGTGAGGAACAGTAAACTAATGATGCTGGCATGTGGAAGGAAGATCCAGGCAGGATTTCTTTACCACTGATTGTGTCCAATAACCATATGATCAATAGATGCAATAGTGCCATCTCGTTGCAAAAGATCAGTACTGCATATAATTAATTCCTTTATAAACACGTAGACTTTAGCTGCTTTCAGGTAGTAGTCAAGTGCTCTTGAATGTGAACAAATATCTAAAAATCCTTTGAGAAAAAATAGTCAATTTCAAGTGAATCTCATTAAGGTAAGGAATATCAAATGCTGGAGAATTAAACACTACCCACTATTACATGCACTCCCCAAGTCAGTTACAGTACAAGTTTGAGTTAGGCTCCCTGTATATGGGATTTAACAACAACAACAACAAATTACACTTGTATAGCATCCTTCACGTCGGAAAGACGTCCCAGGGCGCTGGGACTAAACTAAAGATCCATCTGTGCAATACAAGCACCTCAACACACTGAGCCATGGAGGAGAAAATCTGCCAAGTTACCTGTCCATCACTGTTATCCGAGGATCCTACTTGAATGTCTGTGCGTGTGTGAAAGTTAGGCAAGCACAGGATCAAATTCAACTACGATGCTCTCCACAGTAAACTAGTTTGCCAACATTCACGATCTGGATTTTCACATGCAATACTTGAGTAGAATACTGGAGAGCAAGCCAAAATAAAATATTGCACAGCTATACTTTATCTATTTCTATAATTCACAGGTGTGGCTCAGCATTTTTATTTAAAGTACTGTCATCAGTTTTGATGTCCTTATATCAATATCAAGGTGCCTTGTAGTAAAGTCAGCAGCCTGCAACAATTCAAACAATTGCAACAAACACAATTCAACTTGATGCCATCAGAAATTGGTAATCTAGGACTCGAGAGTAAAACTATGAAGAAGATGATTTTGAAATATTGGTCAGAGCCCCAAAACTTTCATTAAATTCAGTTAGAAAGATTTGAGACAGTAAGTAAACATCCTGTGAAAATCTTCCAAGG